GTCTAATCATGCACTAAGAAAACTTACAGAATGTGTTCTTTAAAAATCATTTTCAGGTCTTGACAGATTCTGTAATGAGGTTTGAATTTTGAAGGCCTATTGGGCCTTTTAATTTTTATAGCAACTACTCTAATCCTCTTAAAGCAAAGTATTTGTCCAGAAAAAAAGCCACCCTTAGACATGGTTAATAGATAGCTTCAGGTTTGTTTGTATTTCTAGGCTAATTTAAAAAAAAATAACATCTACATTAAGTTCGCAAAGAGGTCAGAAGTAATTCCGTCAGTGATCACTATGCTCTGTTTAGTGTCCATATGATGAAGTCACAAGAGGGTCACAGGATTTAAATTTCGTTCATGCTTGTTTAGATAATTGGAGCCACTGGACTAGTTTGTCTTTGAGCTGGAAAGAAGTATCTAAAACTCAGACATCATCTCATTAGTAAAAAAGAAACGCAGCCTTGGAAAAAATGACAGGAAAAGGAGAGGCACTTCGTCGTTGCATCAAGCACAGAAGTTAACTGTTCGTCTGTTTCTTTAGTGTATCAGAATTTCACACCAGCTTTTAGTTGTCGTCTGGTGCACAGCTTAATCTCATAGCGTTTAACAGAAGTAATACGGATGCAAAGGAGAGACAGTACGTGCAGCAAAGCTAAGGTGAGCAATGGAAGGGCAGTGTCCACCCATGGCTCTTAAGCAATGGAATACTTGTCGTATGTCATAGCTACGATCAGGCAGGACAGCAATGATTTCACCACTGCTGCAGCCATCAAGTATCTTTGACATTCCTGTGGCACCTGGTACATTCCTCAGCCCTACTCTAAGACACAACAAAGCAATAAATTACCTTTCCTTTGCGGGGGGGTGGGGAAGTTTGCTCATTTGTTGAAAGGAGAAGATTGTAAGAATGATGATGCTAGCTGAGGGAGGTACAGAAGCTGACCAACTACACATAACCAAAAAATAGCTAGCTTTTGGAGGTTATTCCCGGCAAACACCTGCTAGGAGTCCTTGTCTATAATAATATCCTGAATACAAGGTAAGGTTTCAGTGTTTTTGTCTCCTTTTGTTGCCTCCCTCCACCAAGCTTCTGGTTTACATCTGATTACATCAAACTAAAGATCAACAGATCACAATAGATCATTTTTATTTGGTGATTTGTCATTGACCGGTACTCACTAGTGGTCAGAGTTCTCAGAACAAATGCTGTTTGGACTTAGATGTCCTCATTTATCTGTAAGTATGTCTCCAAGTCTTCCCACATACTGTGAAAGGTAAGTGTAAGGAGTAAGAATGCTCCATACACACATGCAGAGTTCCACTTACACTTTTGTTTTACAGTGTGTAGTACTGCGGACACTCACCAACACAGCCATCTTTCAGCAGATCACCCCATGCGCTGCAAGAACACCGCGTGGCTCCCCCACCAACTCGTTTCGCAATGGAGCCATTTCTACATTGTGCTACTAAAAAGAATTTAATTAACTCTTGCAAATGTTTTAGTTTCATGATAGGGATATTTGCCTTGAAGCTTTTCACATATCTTTGCAGAAGAAAAGCTTTTTATCTAAATAACATTCTTGTGAGTTTTTGAAAGTTTACAGTTGGGTCACTGGCACTGCTTTTGGTACATCTTTCACAGACTTCCTTTATTTTGGCTCGACCACTGCAGTTGGGCACCTGCTTGGTTTTTGACTGTCACCTCAGGACTGAAGTTGCACCAATGGAAAGCACAGGTTAATGTACTTCAGAGCCTTCTTCATGGCAAAAAGCTGGGGTGACTGTACGCATAACAACATGAGTTGTATAAATCTGTGTTTCACAACTAGAATCTGGGAATTTTCTTCTGTAAATCTATGTAAGAGAAACACCTTTGTTCTTTTAATAACAGAACAGGTTGCTCTCTTACAGTTCGCCGGGACTTTGTCAGATGGTTTGGGAAAGACAATGGACAACAGACATCAAACCGAACGCGAATACATCCGATACCATGCTGCGACTAGTGGAGAACATCTTGTAGCTGGAATCCATGGGCTTGCACATGGTGAGCCTTGGCTGCAATTTTAACTTATTTCTCTCTTAAAAGTAACGATCAGATTGAGAAGAACAGTGCACCACAGTTTGTATTACTCTGTGATTATTTGAAGCCACTGAAGGCGAGCTTTATATCAGAATTTGAATGCTTGCAGGTTGGGTGGAGGCATTGTTTTTTAAGTTGGCAGAAATTACATTTAAGAATAGGTCTTTTCACATGCAACTGTAAGTAAAAGCTCTTTTTTTTTTGCAAATTAGAATGAAATTTCAGAGAAAGTTCAGCCAAAACTTCAATTTCTTTGTAGTAAGACGCCCATGCAGTCTTTTTGAGGGCCAGACATTAAAAGAAAAATTAGCATGGTTGGATTGTAGCTTGCTTATCTTTGCTTTCAGTTCCAGAAACATGAGTTTCCTCAGAATCAGTGCATCAGTTTAAAGTAACATTTCACCAGTTGGGTTATTTTGTGGTTTTGCTTCATTTTTGTTAAGTCTACTAAGAACTAGAGAAATTAATTTATATAAAAGGCAGTGGACTAGTCTTAATTTGGCCAGCACCTCATATCAATTTAGTTCATGATTTATCTGTGGAAGAAAGTTAAATCAAGCCAAGTTTAAATCAAATATTTATATCTTGCATCATCTTGACTCAGTTTGTTTAAATGTCATTCTTTCAGTGCAACTGTTGCAGCCTATGTAAAGATAACCTGTTTTTCACTAAAATGACAATCTTCTCTATGCTGACCAAAAGTCTTTATGCTGGACTTTCGTCGTAAAGAGACACTGTGGGTATTTACATGGATCATGAGAGAGGTTTCTCTCACCCCAGTGTGCTGTGAAGTCTGATATAAACTAGCTTGGTAGAAATGCAGGCAACCTCAAATATGTCAGTCTCTGCTGAAAAGTCAGTTATAAAAGCACTTCATTGTGTTGTGTTATCCAGTAATTAGTGGGACTGTTTTAGTCTTAATTCTGTGGAGTTTTTAAATGCTTCCCATTAAGCATTTTTGAAAAAAAGCAAATAACTGTTAAATCCTGTCTGTGAAATCTAGGAACTAACCATAATCTATAGCTACACAAAAGAAGTGATTTAAATACTTTGTCCTTCCCGAGTTTGGAAGTTAAGATGCTGCCTGGTCTGTACTTCAGTGGCAGACCTTACAGAGTACCTGGCTGCTAAAGCTGAAGAGCCAAATGGTGGTGAGCATTTTAAAATGAGGGCTTAAGTCAGTTCACCAAAAATGAAATCTTCACAGCGTGTTCGCCGATAATATGAACTGTTCCAAGTCTTGTGAAGCCTCAGTAGGTTTTGATTTTTTTCACAGCATTCAGATTCTCAGCAATGGAAACGTGCACAGAAATATCTGTCGGCAGCAGCTAACATGAGCAGTTAAAAGTCACACAGTGCCAGTTTAAAATAACTTACTTTTGCCAGTGGAGAAATGCACTTCTCTGTTTTCTGTCTCAAATTGTGTAAGCTTTTATGGTAACAGAATTTTGCCACATTGTAAGGAACTGCTTCACCTCAGGAGCAGGTGAGGACTGTTTGTGTAAACGCAGCTGGGAAATAAAACAGTATAGAAATACAAAAAGATATACATACTTAATAATGAATTAAATCTTTTTCTGTGGGATATTGTTGTCTGTGCCTATGCGTGTGCACGCTACATACACAAACCATAAAGTTATTAGCTGATGTGATCAGTTGTGAAATGGTTTCTGTATTCCATGAAATGCACAGTGCTTTTCTGTCAAGCTTGACAGTAAATCCTTGCGGCAGACAGCATCAGCGGTGACAAGGCTCTGGAATTTTTTGAGGCAGTACTTCTGGCCCACTTTGCTGTTCTTGTCTTTGCCAGGTATCATTGGCGGATTGACAAGTGTAATAACTTCAACAGTTGAAGGTGTGAAAACTGAAGGCGGTGTCAGTGGTTTCATATCGGGCCTTGGGAAAGGGCTGGTTGGCACAGTAACCAAACCTGTGGCTGGAGCTCTGGATTTCGCATCGGAAACTGCACAGGCTGTGAGGGACACTGCAACGCTAAGTGGCCCCAGGTCAGTAGCAGTGTGTATTTCCAATCGATAATCCTGTAAAATGCTTATTAATACCTGCTGCAATTTCTGATCTGATTATCTTTCCTTACTCAAAGCAACAATAATTTAATGAAAGTTACTATGAGCTATTATTAGTGATGTAGCCCATTTCATTCAATTTGCTTTTTCGTTAATAGATGGCATTTGCTGATACTGTAACAAGAGCAAAATTTGCAGGGAAAAGCTGCAACATAAAATAGGAATTATTAAGCTACAGCATTAGATTAAAGCAACATTTTTAAAAGGCTATATATAATGAGATTGAACTTCCACCACGCAGTCCTTCTGCAGAGTTGAAAGGGAAGAGTTCTTGTTCCTGCTCTGCCTCCAGCTTCCATTTAGCTGTGTAGAAAAACAATCCTTCAAAGGTTTGCAGAGTTCTGGCATCAGCGTAGCATCATTATCTTCCAGTTTTCTTGTTGCACAGTAGTTCTCACTTACTTGTGGAACTTGTTGTGGGTATCTGCCCTTATGTCCACATGCTTATCTCTTTACCCATACACAGATGGATGTTAGGTGTCAGCACATCACAACAGATGCCTTGGCTTCCCTCCTGTGTTCAGTTACTAGTGTAACGTGCTCTCTACAAGCTTCTCTGAAAGAACATTCTTTTTATTCTCTGTGTCCAAGTGTTTACTTTATATGGTAATACTACACCAAGAAGTCCTTTGTATGTACGTGAGATCCTGTGTGCTGGAAAAACGAAAGAAAATCCTAAGTAAATTTTATTGTCAGAAAGCTTAGAGAAAAATGTTTGCAAAATATTGGGTTTTCTGGTTGTTTTGTTCTTCCCATTTGGCTTTTCTATTTCCTGTGTTTTATTACGCCACGCTTGGAATCCTGAAGTGTCTACCATCAGTGTTTCAGTAAGGAACAATAAGCTTGATGAAGTGTGAGTGAGGTGCAGGAAACTTAGAAGAATGAACCTAGGTGCACTTTGCTGTGAAAATGGAAGGGTTTTACATGTATGTGTCTTATGTATTTTGTACGTTACTTGATTTCTGAAACCAAGAGGTCAAGGATTACAATTTGGTACGTACATATGCACACACAAAATTACATGAGAACTCTGAAGTGCATCCCTGAGAAAACACATCGACTGTTTTGCCTGGACACGTCTTAACTTTGTGACCCTACAGATTGATTGATTTATTTAAAGGTAGGGAGAAACACGCCTGGCTACACTTTTAGTTGTCTCACCAGTTGAGCTGTGTTTTTATTATAGTTTGTTTCAAGACACACATATACTTAAAATTCATGCTTTGACATAATTCTATGAGATACAGCCTATGCACAGTAGCGATGATGTTATCAACAGCTGGCAAAATAGATAGCAGCTGGGAAAGGGCAGGCCTCCAGCCAACCTTATCTCTAGCTTGTGTTTGCCTCTGTGACATACTTCCCTTTAGCTTGTTAACTGTCAGGTAAGAGATGAGGTTAAGACAGATGAGCTGAACCACATTTTTGCTTCCACTAGATTCTTAAATATTATTGTCATAGATGAGCACTGTGACATTATTTTAGTGTTTACACACACTCTGCAAAAAGTTTTTGACCCAGGAACCTTCTACGAGGGGAAGAAAACCCCAAACAAACAAAAAGAAAAACCTTTGTCACGTACCACACTTCTCCAGTCTACAGAATCTGATCAAAACTTATTTTAGATAAACAAATGTAGTCGAGAATATGTAGATAAAGTAGGAGAGGAAAGAAAAACAAAAAACACATTATTACCTATACGCAACCTTGCACTAATGTTTTGTTTGGTAAGGTTTGTTTTTTTTCTTTTTAATGTGCTTATACAATGAAGCAACCAAATTGTTCTTTTGGGCATATTAAAAAGAAAAAACAAAGAATTTGTACATTTTTTAGACTGCTGTGTACCAATATCCCCCTGCCGCATTTGTTAACTGTTCAAATATGTGTGGCTTGGAATCAAAATAGAGCAGTGTTCCAAACCCAAGTCGCTGGCTCCAGTTGAATATTCTGTTGGAGCATGCTGGGCCATGTAGACTCTTCCAAGCTAAGTACACAAAAACAGCTAATCCTGATGAATATGAGTTTATGGCAGTAACTGATCTCAAGTGTAGTTTTGAACAACTGAAGAATGTGAGCTAATAAGCATGGTAAGAGCCATCCTGACCTTCTTTTGAGACTGACAACGTATGTGCAAGTTTCCGGTATTGGTGCAAAGTTGAGTCAACCAGTTAATTACAGTTGCATTTAAATAGCATGATACATAACCGTAAATTAAAGGCCCCTTGCAATTCTCTAATTACATGGTTGAATTTTTAAAAAGCCCTGAATTTAAGCTGCTGGACTTTAACCATTGGATCAGTTTTGAGGGAGATTTTAATTGAGGTTGTGGGTTTTCCTAAAGGGCATGTTCTAATTCCAGCAAAGTTACTGAATTGAATAGAATGCTGAGGAAGACTCTGTAGCTTGTGTTACTGTGATTGGGCCCCATGGACATAAGTCTGGTTTGGCTTCAAAATGTATTGCTTTGTACTGGGACTTGTGCAGCTAGCGCAAACCCTGAATTTGGAACATGGAACCAAACTAATATGGCTGAGATGCAGACGATGGCTTTACAGCTTACAGTGGTAGTTTAAAAGGTGATGTGTTTGAAGTACAAGAAAATATTTTTTAAACCTGACTTTGGGCTGAACTTTTTCAAGGCTCATCTTATAATGTATTATGTAATGGTAGATTTTATTATGCTTGTTATTTATGAATAAAACTGCCTTAATACTTTCAAATTCTAATACAGAGGAGAGCATAAAATTGTTGTTGACAATGCAGCATACATCTAATTTATAAACAGTTAATGCCTGTGACTTGATACCTTTTTTTGAGCGGGTTTTGTGTGTTCCAAGTACTGTGGTGTCACATACAAGAGTTCTGATTATTTCCATACTTGTCATATACTGCCAAAAGCCCAGTTCAAAACAGGAAAGCTGTTATGTGTCTAGATATGCTTGGAAGGCTCTCTCCTGGAAACGTGTTTTAAGTCCGAGTGCAGCACAAGTAAAGAACATTTAATATTTAGATGTGTGTCAAGTAGTGCAGGAAACTGCCATTATGGCTTTCTCTCAGGCTTCTGCCAGGTCAGTGCAAGTTTAAGATTATTCTTGAACTGTAGTTGCAAGGGTTTGTGTTCTTTTCTGATAGTCACAATATGAAACTTAGAAGTAAGGAGATAACTTCATGACCTACTCAATTCTAATGAATTCTGTCATGGAACTAGACTGTATTAGTCAAGAATAGTTTGAGACTGGAAGCCATTAATGGTCACAGAGCATTCTTGTGTAAATATTTGATTCTTTTCAATGTTCTTCACCTGGAAAGAAGCAGCCTGTGCTACTTGTTCTTTCGTTCAACACTTCCATGCCATCACTTGGAAATCTGCAGTGAGGTTGCAAAGTTTGAGACAATGTCAACAGCACGTGATATCCCCCTGCCCCCACCCCCTTTGTGCATCCATCTTTCTGTTGGTCTGTTAGCTGTGTTTTCAATGGTAAGGTCAAAAGCAGTAGACTTGAGACCATGAGTATCAGTGACACTGAGGAGAAGCAGAAAATACGGACCGAATTGTACAGAACACCATCTCAGCTAATACTGCCAAGAGGATATTCTCAAGGTTTTCAAGTTTTAAAGATAAATGCTGCTTGAACCTTAACACCTCTGTATGTGTCCCAGCTTCCATCCTGGCCTTGGACTTGATCTAGATCTGACTTCAAGAGTCTTTACAGTAATGTCAATTATGTGTGGGCCATGACCGGTGAATGAGATGGTATTCTTCTCCTTGTAAGCCCTTCCTAAGATTTTCCTAGAGACCAAAGAGAAAATGTGTTTATCAGCCAGTACTCATTGTGTTGTGTAAATCTGGAAACGCTGCATACAGGACAGTTTAGCTGATTTATTGGTCTAATCTGTAAATGACTTGGGCAGTGTGATTTCCTTCATTTCCTCTTTTTTGCTAGTTTGGTAACGGGTCTTTATAATGAAGTTTTCTCAAATGGTTTGTTTTCTGTTGAGTGAGTTTGCCCATTTTACACCTGTGGCACCCAGTTAAATGGCTGTAGGCATTGGCTGTTCCTCAGTGTTAGCCCTACCTCCCATCTTCAGTCACTGTTGAACTGGATTTTATGGGTTTACATTCTTCTGTCAGTAGTCTATCCAGATTCTTCCGCTGCTGTTGCTGAGCTACTTTGAAATCACCCCAGGCTGTAAGTTCCCATCAGGACTGTGTGAAAAGGGACTGTCATACCCCTGTTCTGTGACAAGCTCTGCAAGTCATCCAAAATTGCATTGGCTGGTTTTACTGCCATATCACATTGCAAATTGATACCCAGTTTTCTGCTTGCTGTTTTCCCCCAAGAGGTTTTTTTTGTTTTATTTTACTGCCTTGCAAATATCTTCTCATCATTTTATATTTGTGTTCTGGATTATTTTTCCCCAGATGAACCAGGTTCCAGTTTTGTAGGCTGAATCCCATTTCATTTCCTGCCATATTTCTGACCTCTTCAGGTTCTTTAGTACTTCACTGTCCTCACTGGAGTTTTAAACGCCTCTTGGTTTGTCCTCTCCAAATATAATTGTACATGCTGCTTTTACTAGATCCTTGAAGTTAACAAGCCTGGTTTTGTGCCCACACATTTTGCAACAGCTTAGCAGACACTTCTCCCTGGTTTAATAATTTTCTGTTACCAGTCTCACCTGCTCAGTATTTTTCTGTTACGTTTTGTCACTGGTAACTTTGTACAGTTCTGTTGGAGATCCTGTTCTGTTCTTCAAATGTCTGCTCTTGCTTGTTGCATAAGTGAATGTAGATTTTCGTGTGGGGGACGTAATTCTTCAAACTGCAGCCCTGTACCTCTTCAGTGTGGATAATTTAATCTCAAAACCTTTTTTTTTTTTTCTGAAAACGCACCTCAGCTATTTTAGTTTCTTAACTAGAA